GACGCTATAACTCCAGAACGCACTAACCGATTTCCACGGTTTTGCATTCGTTGGAAAGGTCACGGACTCCGTGAGGTTTGTAGCAAAGAAAATTCAGGAAAAATAAAAAAAAAATCTTCTTTCAATCACCAAACGAAATGTTACATAAAACGAAGCCATCTGGTGGCGAAACGGAGTTCGCCGGGTTTGCTAGTTACTTCTATAAAGGAGATGAATAAATTGTAACTCCTAGATGGGTGTAGTAATAAATACTACAACTTATTATCTGAGTAAATTCTTATTATACTTATCATAATAAGAACTTACTCAGATTTTCTTATTTTGCAATTTTGTGTTTTTAAGAAAATAATTGTTTTTTTATGCTTCCTAAATTATTTTTAAATGTCGTGGAACTCTGTAATAGGCTTAGTTTTTTAAATAAGTTTACTCAAGCATGTAATGAATAAAAAAATCTGTTGAGTTTAATTTTTTATTAAATAAAAAAACTTAGAAGAACTTTCATCCTACTTAACTACGTTTTTATTCTTAACTTCTCAACCTTGACACTATTTTGTACAACTAACAGTGGTTGATTGATAACCACCTACCCTATTTTTTATTCAGAAACTTATAGTTTTACATAGTTATAAATATTGTAAAATAAAAAATAGTTTTGTGCTAGACTTACAGTTTCCTCAATGAAATAACAAATAAGCAAAAAAGAAAATAAAATAATTTAATACAACACTAACAATGGACTATGCCGGCAACAAATACCTAACAACATTAATACGAGTTATAAAATCATTATACTAGAATTGTTCGGATTGGAACTAAGAAATTATAAAATGATAAAAGTTTAAAACTGTATATTTGAAAAAAAGGACTAAAAATAACTAAAGAATAATAAATGCTATGAGTACGCGCGACTTGATAAGTTGATGATTTTGGACTGATTTTTTGCAATAAAACATGATGTTTAATTATGAATAGGTAATTTAGGTCAACTATGTAAATGTGATGATATGCGCGCTTGCTCGTACAAGAATAGCCTAATCAGATTCCAAAGTATACTGAATAGACATTTTTTTAAAACTATCTAATTTATGATGAAATAAGTCCAAATTCACAAATTAATCATTGTATAACCTGCATGCCCTTTTCATAAAACCATTACTTGCATATGCTGTCCGACTACGTGGAATATTAAATAGAGGTTTCTTTCTACAAGCTCGTTCACAGCGACGGGGAAAAATTTACGAGATTTATTTTGTTATAAAAATAATATCCATGTCGATTACGGCTTTATTTATTGTTATCTTAGGAATGATTTTTGGCTTTTTCAAAAACTGAATGGAAATTTTCATTTAATAAATCACAAAGTGTGCTTCTAGTGGTTTTCATACCTTTGTAGTACATAACTTCTGGAAGACCTCTTTTAGCAAAAAAATATTTAATTAATATAAGTCCAGGAGAACTTAGGACTAGTATTAATTTTTGTTTTAGTACGGGTAAAATAATTTCGGTAGCATTCTGGTTTCAATTTTAAGATCATTTTCTTTAAAACTTTATAACTATCGCGATCCCGGGGGTTTCCTTAAGTCTTCTTGGCTTATGGATATTTTTTTCTCATTTAAAAGTCTTCTAAGCGCTTTAGTGTACCATGGGGGCTTAGAATTAGATAAATGTTGAGGAACTTTTGGAACATATTTGTCTAATAATTTATTTAAGTCATAAAATATTAATGCACATTGCTCTAACGCACGGTCAGAAAAAAACATCAGACCAATCGTTCTTAGACAACTAGATATAAATATCATCTAAGTTTGCATCGAAGAAACGATATATGAAGCTAGAGACAGGTTTAAGTGGTCGCGCATAAGTAATATTTAATTCTATTTGAATAGCCCTATGATGTAAATCTTCGGTAGTTAAGGGATAGTCAATTGCAAACACAGTACAAACTTTAGTTCATAAAATAATATCAAAGAATCCGTTCTTTAAAATCGTTGCAACCATTATACTGTTCTAAAACCGAAAAACATACAACACGGACAAAGTGTTACTGTTATTATTAAGTTTAATTCTGAAACTTTTACATAAAACCCACTGAGCATCGGAAACATTGAAATCACCTGTTATTAAGAAAACGTCACTAGGATTTTCTATCATTAACTGACCACAAATATCAAAAAACTTTGCTAACGTATTCATATACAAGGGCCCGTGCGGTATGTAAACGCAACAAATATTTAAGGATGTTTTCGTTTGAATGCCGTATTGCGATAAAGGTATTGATATCCAAATACACTCGGAGGATACGGAAAGGGGGCAGGGCCAGTGCCTGCGCGTAGGCTGGAGCTCGACGCACGGCCACAATTTTTCCTAAAGAGAAGAAATGACTACAGCAGCTGCATTGAAGTCATTATATTTAAATGTGAAAGTGTGTACTGTGCGGATTTGGATAAAATAATAGCACACATATACATAGTTTATTTCCTGGGTTAAGACATAGTTTGTTTATCAGGGCGGTTTCCGCACTTAGTCCTAATTATTGGACCATTGTGCGTGTCTCAAAAACATTCCCGTTTACTCCAGTCAGCCTATATCGGTCCAGAAAGAAAGCAGCCTTGGTAGACTGCTGCAAGCGATTCTGGCGACTAGAGAAGTCGTGCCCGTTGGTCGGCCACACTCCTGCATTCCATGATGACATGCTGTGGCGTTTCTTCTGCCTCCATGCATCCTCTGCATAGGGGGCTGTCTGTTACTCCTATTGTATATAGGTGTTTGTTTAGGGGACAATGACCAGTCAGGGTTCCTATAATCCTGCGAAGTTTGTCCCTATTTAGTCTGGTAAGGGTGTGGGCAAAACTTTTATTTGCCGCCGGAACCGCGTTTTTCGTTTGCCGTCATCCTTCACCTGTTTTCCACTCCGTCAAGTGTGATTTCTGAGTTATTTCACGCAGCCACGCTTAAATTGTACGCACTGGGTCTTAACCCAGTGCGTACCTTACCCTACTCCTATGTCTTAACATAGGACATAGGATAAGACATTAAACAGATAGATTTAAACAGATAGACAGACAGAAACAGACAGATTAGGATAGAACATTATTCCGGGCCGGATTAGATTCCACAAGAAACCAATAAGTCTAAAAAGTTTTTTGATTCTCAAAAACGAGGAAGTTACGACCGGCCGCTAGTAAGTCATACTAAGACTAAGCTGCAGAGTCAATTTCGACGGATTTCGTTATGAGGATTTTGAGAAGGCCAAAAGTTTATTTGCTGTTAAAATAAAACCAAGGTAATAGTGGTGAAATACGTTTTTGATTATTATAAACGGACAAAGTCTAACCCAGTTTATGACAGAATTTACTTTTTACAATTTAGCACAAATTGTTTAAAATACAGAATTCTTCATTAATTTGCAGTTAAACTGCTGTAAAAAATGCGCTTGCATTATAGGCGCTTGTTTCGCTTGAAAAGAACTTAATGCATTTCCAACACAAAACCTTCCGCTTTTGTATGAAGTAAAAGCTCTTTGAGTTCTTAAGGTATATTCTACCCACGTTGACTATAACTCTCATTCAGCGCAAGCTTATTTACAATGTTATACTGAGGAGAAACCGGGGTTCTTACCTTATATTTAAAATTATATTTAAAAGCGTAAATAAAACGTCAATTTGTTTATTGGTCACATGCGAGACTGTTTTGTTGTGATTGGTGTCTCACATGTTTAGTTTTTATATATAACTAGCGGCCCGCCCTCGCTTCGCTTCGGTGTAGAGCTGACGTGTAGACTACAATTTTTGTTCACAGGCTAGTATTATACACAATGACAATTATCTATGATTCTTCTTATACCTGCATGCAAAGTCTCAGCCCGATCGGTATAAAATTGACAAAGTTTCATACAAACTTTCATTCCCTATTTTATCCTCTTGGTAGAATTGATCAAAATCCTTTCTTAGCAGATGCCTACGTCATAACATCTACCTGCATGCCAAATTTCAGCCCGATCCGTCCAATGGTTTGGGCTGTGCATTGATAGATCACTATGTCAGTCAGTCACCTTTGAGTTTTATATATATATAGATTTTGAAAGATAGGGTAAGAACCCCTGTTTCCGCCCAGGAAAACATTGAAAATAAGCTTGTACTGAACGAAAGAAGAAAATAATCTTTAATTAATAGTCGACCGAACCTGAAACTTATCGCCATTAAGATTCCATCTTCGATAAGAGACAAAAGATTTCCATATTCAAATTTTTAAAATAATGACATTTACTTTTTTAATATAACTGCCAGCTGTAGGCATTACATAAGCAAAGAGTTTACACAAGCAAAGAGGCTGTAATGCAACGGGCGTTACACTACCTTGTATCGTAAAACTTTTAATGTCAATATTATTATGCATATCAGAGGATAGCAACAACTTTAATTCTCTTCGTTTGCAATTCCCTATCTTTAACACAATTAGTACAAACCCGCCTCAAACGAAATGCAGCTCCAACGCAGTAAAGTCTAATCCATCCATTTTCTGACCAATTCACAATGTCAGTAAACTAATTAGGTACTCTGTACTGTATACCGACTTTAAAGAGCACTGTGGAAAGCGCGGTTGAAAGCTCAGCTCGAATATTTCATGAAAATAGCATTAATCCGAACGTTGTAGAGACTCCATTCTTCGATACGATTCAGCATCATGTTTCTGGTAATTGAGCTTCAACGAATTCAAAGCTTTCCATATCCATTAGGAATTGATACAGTACATACTCGTATTTATAGAGTAGATAATATTAACTCTAAGTTCCATGTTACATGTTGTTGCATGTTGCTCCAAGGATCGTAGATAAACATAGAAATCGCAAACTCGTAAATTATTACGCATTAAGTAATTGTTTAAAAATGTACACTGTAGTTCTGGAAATTGTCAATTAAAAATAACGTTGAAGTAGAAATATCAGAATGTAATAAAGCTGGTATTTAAAAACCAAGCTTATAAAAGGAAGTTTATTTTAACTAAAGGTGTAATATCCCCGTCAAACTATGCTCCTCGTGTTGCTCATCGCTTTGCTCCCCGCGCTGCTCATCGCTTTGCTCCCCGCGCTGCTCATCGCTTTGCTCCCCGCGCTGCCCATCGCTTTGCTCCCCGCGCTGCCCATCGCTTTGCTCCCCGCGCTGCTCATCGCTTTGCTCCCCGCGCTGCTCATCGCTTTGCTCCCCGCGCTGCTCATCGCTTTGCTCCCCGCGCTGCCCATCGCTTTGCTCCCCGCGCTGCCCATCGCTTTGCTCCCCGCGCTGCTCATCGCTTTGCTCCCCGCGCTGCTCATCGCTTTGCTCCCCACGCTGCCCATCGCTTTGCTCCCGGCGCTGCCCATCGCTTTGCTCCCCGCGCTGCTCATCGCTTTGCTCCCCGCGCTGCTCATCGCTTTGCTCCCCGCGCTGCCCATCACTTTGCTCCCCGCGCTGCCCATCGCTTTGCTCCCCGCGCTGCTCTTCGCTTCGTTCCCCGCGCTGCCGCGATGTTGCCCTTTCTCCTCACACACTGCTCGCGCAATAGTTTTCGAAGCTCTGCACTTGGTTATTTGACTATGACACGATGGACGATGTAACTGTGGCAACATGCGTGCTACGCATTTTTAGTATAGCCAATTATATCAATGTCATACAAAAAAGCCGACAAAACAGGGAACAGTAGGGTATTTTTTTCTGAAAAAAGAGGCCACTCTTTTTACATCAAGCGGGATTGGCGTGATTGCCAAATTTAGGTATATATAATAACGTTGAAGTAGAAATATCAGAATGTAATAAAGCTGGTATTTAAAAACCAAGCTTATAAAAGGAAGTTTATTTTAACTAAAGGTGTAATATCCCCGTCAAACTATGCTCCTCGTGTTGCTCATCGCTTTGCTCCCCGCGCTGCTCATCGCTTTGCTCCCCGCGCTGCTCATCGCTTTGCTCCCCGCGCTGCCCATCGCTTTGCTCCCCGCGCTGCCCATCGCTTTGCTCCCCGCGCTGCTCATCGCTTTGCTCCCCGCGCTGCTCATCGCTTTGCTCCCCGCGCTGCTCATCGCTTTGCTCCCCGCGCTGCCCATCGCTTTGCTCCCCGCGCTGCCCATCGCTTTGCTCCCCGCGCTGCTCATCGCTTTGCTCCCCGCGCTGCTCATCGCTTTGCTCCCCACGCTGCCCATCGCTTTGCTCCCGGCGCTGCCCATCGCTTTGCTCCCCGCGCTGCTCATCGCTTTGCTCCCCGCGCTGCTCATCGCTTTGCTCCCCGCGCTGCCCATCACTTTGCTCCCCGCGCTGCCCATCGCTTTGCTCCCCGCGCTGCTCTTCGCTTCGTTCCCCGCGCTGCCGCGATGTTGCCCTTTCTCCTCACACACTGCTCGCGCAATAGTTTTCGAAGCTCTGCACTTGGTTATTTGACTATGACACGATGGACGATGTAACTGTGGCAACATGCGTGCTACGCATTTTTAGTATAGCCAATTATATCAATGTCATACAAAAAAGCCGACAAAACAGGGAACAGTAGGGTATTTTTTTCTGAAAAAAGAGGCCACTCTTTTTACATCAAGCGGGATTGGCGTGATTGCCAAATTTAGGTATATGGCTCGCCTGATAGTAAGCCACTAAAAATATCACTCGTGCCGTTGCCTACCCTAACCTAATCCCCTACCCCGTGGTGGTCCAGTGTTGCAAACATCCACAAGCGGCGGTATGATCACATATATCGATGTATGTATACAACCCACCCAAAGAGATTAGCTACGCAAACAATGCACGCACATCACATCACTTTCCCTGTGACCTTTTCCGTATTGCGCGGTAAGCAATAATATTTCATTGCATATTTCGGTAGAGTCAGCACAACAAATAGCAAATAAACGGGGCCCGACTCGTAGGCGTTCACCCCACGCGGTCGTGATTCGAAATGTGGAATTGTTTTTGACACATTGAATGGGGAGCTTGCCTCAAATTTCTATTAGTAGCATGAAATTTAAGGTCAAAACAAATTTCTGATTTCATTTAGAATTCAGTAAGTTATGATGTTTCTAATCTTGGCGGAACGGGGAAACGTCAAATAACAAAAAAAGGACGGTAATGTAATAAATGTGAAATAGAAAATCGCAGTTTCTATCCTGTTCAAATATTTTGTTTATATTAAATTATTTTCCTCTGTTAAATCCAATATAGACCACAGACTATCGCGTCTAAAATTTATTTATAATTTCGACGATTTGTTTTTGCTATCGTCGGGAGAGGGGGGGGGGGGGGGCTAAATTCTAAACTTGATATTGATGATGTATTTATACTGCGAAGTAACAAATAAAATGAGACAATGCGTGACTTAATAAAGCATTAAATTATTTGATAATTCTTGCTGCAATAGCGTCACTGTATGCATCTAGGGATTCTAGGGGAACAGCCGAATAGTTGCTTTTTGTCCAAAAATATGGACCCCCTAAAAGTGCAGTAAAAGTAATAAGCACCAACTAACGAAGTGCACTAACGCCAACAATATCCCTAACATATTGTTCTCGAAACCGGGGCAAGTATCCAACTGCGGCAACTATTCAGTTTTTACCCTAAGTATGTAAAAACAAAAAATAACCACGGATAAAAATGCAAATCTCCTTACAGAATCTTAGCCAATATTCCGCATTAGCATACCGTAGCGTATTCATCTAGGGCGTAATTAACGTCGACCAATAGAATTACAGCTTTAACGAGCAGGGCCGGCACCCGGCAGTAATCACTGAAACGCGGCTGAATTTACTGCGGCCAGTGAAATCCGTAATCGGCAACCCTAGGGGACCGATCGCACGTGACCTGGGTTCAAGCTTCGATAAATTTGGACACTTTCTTATTTGAAATTGATTATGAATTGTTAGGCGTAGGCCACACAGGGTGCAGAACAACATAATTAAGCGAATCATCGTTAGGATAATGCTAAGGGGAACAGTTAACCAATCTAAAAACAAGTGTACAGTTTACTAAGACAACCTCCGTGGCCGAGTGGTTTGTACGCCGGGTTTCATGGTGTCGCCTACTCGAGAGGTCCCGGGTTCGAATCCCGGTGGGGGCAGATGTTTGTGTGATGAATACGAGCATTTGTACTCCAGTCGTGGATGTTAAATATGTATTTCTATATAAATATACTTATATATGTACTGTATATTTATTCTTATCCGTTACCCTAGTATCCCATAACACCAGCCTTACAGTGCTTACTTTGGGGCTAGGCTAATTGGTGTGAGTGTTGGAAATATTTATTTATTATATTTATTTATATTTACTTGTACATAAAAATTTGCTAACACCGCGTACGTCACTCAGGTCGCGTCATTAACCCGCATTTACCTAAAGTGTCATATTATCATAATAATAAAATATTATTTCTTTATTTAATGGCAGTGCAATTAGAAACGCGAACTAATTAACACAAATTAGAGACAAGAATAACCTACACCCTTACTGTAACTTTGTTTATAATATATGTCGGAATTTATCTCTCTCTGATCTTTTGCTCCTGCACTCCAACTAACTAATTCTCATTAAAGGTGTACAAACTGCACATTTTGGTCCTTCGAGCCGGAAACTTTAAAGATATGCTGAGCGAAGCTAAAAAATAACTAAGCGAAGGTAATAGAAGCACTGTGATAGCCAAAGTAAAAACTAGCAAAGCTTAGTAATATTAGATTAACTGGTTTGCACTAGAACTCGAAAGATGTATTTATTTGTTTATTAAAGGTCAGCCAACATTTTTAACCCTTAACTAACATAATCACACTTATATGTAACAATTTTCAGCATAGTGCAAAAATAATTACTGGCAAACTCAACATGAACAAAAACACGGAAATCTATACTAATATTATAAAGCTGCAGAGTTTGTTTGTCTGTTTGTTTTTTTGAACGCGCTAATCTCTGGAACTACTGGTCCCATTTGATGATTCTTTCAGTGTTGGGTAGTCCATTTATCGAGGAAGGCTATAGGCTATATTTTTTTTCAAAATTAAGGATCCGCAATAAAATTGTTATTTTGTAACACAAGGTGTAAAATCGAAAACCTATTTTTGCGTGCGCTGCAGAAACTATTGACAATGGAACAAAATGATGTAGTACGGGTTTGTAGATCCCATTAAGACCTACAAAAAAGTCCGCGAGAAAATATATCTAGCTATCATGGTTTAATCACAATAACCGATTTTGTGTTCAAAATAATTATTAAATCGTCTGAAGAAAAAAAAACTACGTTAAATATGTATCGTAATATTAAAAACAGAAACCCTTAATTTTCACGCCTCTACCACCCATATTTTTATGGCGATACGAAGTTCGCTGGGTCAGCTAGTATAAAATAATAATAAAAAGTATTACACTGGCACTATTACTAAAGAATATTTAATACAATTCTTACATTCGTCTATTCGCCTGCAACAACCAACTCACCACACCAATATCGTAAATAACCGTTACATATTCAAGAAACTTAAACTAAACTGAAAACTAAAACAAAAATGCATTTAAACATTAGGTTAAAATTCATATTAAATTTAAATTTGGTTTATGTAGTGCAAACATATTTTAATCCCTCGACGACCCAATACAATTTCATGCTTTTAATTCCGTCGTTCGCGGTGCAAACTCAATTACAGTAAAATGTGTTGCGGAGTGAACTTTGTTTCGCCTTGGTGTGACCTGTACCCTTAGCACGAACCAATATAGAATTCGTAACGTTTTCGAGTAGGAAATGTCACTGCCAAATGTGTACTGATTTTTAGTTCTCGTTACGTACTTCGTGGAGCTGCTGTTCAAGTTTTCATACAAAATTTGACAATGACATTTCGCACTCGCAAATTATTCGAATATGATAATAGTTCGTGCTAGGGGTATTGTGCTTTATACGTCTAGGACTAGGTATTACCTGCACGTATTGCGTTAGCGTTACCTATAGCATAACGCCCAGGTTAAAGGTACTAAATATAAAAAAAATATCAAATTTGATGACCAAACATGATTATTTCGAGTTCCTCAAAGCTTCATAAAGCACAAAATACTGTTGATACTGGTAGCAATCTATGCTGGCAGCATCTGGAGTATACATGTTTGAATAAAAGAAACATGTTATTAAGGAGACGTACGTAGTATCATTTCTTAGTCGCTCCGGAGAAAATAATGAGACGGAAACCAGAATATTTAACAGGCAACAGAGAGATTTATTTTCAGGGTTCCTTATCAAAGCCTCCGTTGTCAGACCGTCTTTTTATCAGAGGATTGGTTTAAATGTTGACAATTAATCTATATATATAAAACTGTGTGTGACTGACTGACTGACATAGTGATCTATCAACGCACAGCCCAAACCACTTCACGGATCGGGCTGAAATTTGGCATGCAGGTAGATGTTATGACGTAGGCATCCGCTAAGAAAGGATTTTGATCAATTCTACCTCCAAGGGGATAAAATAGGGAATGAAAGTTTGTATGAAACTTTGTCAATTTTAAACCGATCGGGCTAAGACTTTGCATGCAGGTATAAGAAGAATCATAGATGAATGCCATTGCGTATAATACAAGCCTGAGAACAAAAACTGTAGTGTACACTTCAGCTCTACACCGGAGCGAAGAGAGGGCGGGCCGCTAGTCAAACATAAAACAAATTAAGAATTGAAGAAGACCCTAGACATAAAGTCAATCTGATTTTAAAAGAATTTAATCTTGTATACAGTGCTACAGAATGTTCATGTGCGAGTACGACTCGCATTTGGACGATTTTCTTGAATATTCAATTGCGTCGAGTGAAATAGTTGACATGCTCTCCTCTTCTATCTTTGTACATTTCTTTCGACATCATCGTGAATCTTAAATATCTCCGACCTGGACGCGTCGGCTCCATAAAATTAATGAGGCTTTGAACGGAGTGCTATAAATCGTCTTAGCTCGAGTATTTTTCACACTTCAGCAAGTATTTTTTTACTGGATTTGAATTATTTAACTGTCTGCTTCTTTTTCTAAAGACATAAGCGTAGGATTATATACCTAAATCGTAAATTTTGAGTTACCTGAGAAACTTTATCATGTAGTCATGTTTTTATTTTTTAAGCATTCAACTGCTAGATGTTTAAATCTAAAGAAAAGTTTACTAGAAAATAATTTTTGGTGCGGGTTCGAGTCCCGTCTGCTGCCTGGTCCAAGTGGATTTTTTTTCTAGTAAACTTTTCTTTAGATTTAAACTTTACCAGCTAGGTAACTTTACTAGCAACGATTTAGGTTATATTTCAGCATTTTTTTTTCTTTAAGTATTTTTGTCTTTTTCGAAAAATGTCTCCGCGTTCATTGACTAATTGTGCAACTAATAAGCCTTAATAATTTTAACTGTCATGTTTTTTATTTTAATATTTTTTTATTATCTACGTACCTACTTCAAACAGATAAAAGTTCCATAATAGGTATGTTATTTACAAGTTTTCGCCGATTTAGGATTATTTATAATCGATATAAATAAATATTTTTGAATGGGAGTGTAGTACGTTAAGAACTGTTCGCACTATTTTTATTTACACGATTTTTAAGTTTCTCAGCTACTTAATTCAAAATTCATGCGTATAGGTATACTGAGCTTAGCTATCTTTCAAGTTATCTGAGTATATAACTGCACAAGAAAAAAAGTACAGTATAAATGTATTTATTTAGATTTTACCTAAACGCTAACTGATTTTCAACTCTTTTTATATTGGTAGTTTTTAGTTGCGAAAATATAAATATATTGTTTATTTTACCTACTTTTTAACGATGAAACAAACGCAAACTAAAACGAAAACAAGGACCAAAAATATGGTCCATGACGAAACTAAAGCTATTCTCATGTCCGCTCACCATGTAGCCAGCTAACGTTGAAATGCCACTAATGGAAAGCTTTTGATATGAACAGTCACGCTCTGCAGGGGTATCGAGATGGGACCGGTGCCTTTTCAACTATCCAGCAGCTTTAAAAACGTAATGACTGACGCTTGCATAGATAAACTAAACGAGAGGCTCACTAAAAAGCAGTGTATCATTTTAGCCGACTTCAAAAAGAAGGCGCTTTTCAATTCGTCAGTATGGTTTTTTATTGATTTTCACGCACTGAGTTTGGTATTTTTTTTAATTGTTTTTTTTGAATGATAGTCCAATATTAATTTGGTGAAGATCTGATCAATACTTTTAGAGAAAACAATAAAACTCCCCAAACAAACAAATAGTACCTACTTAATCCATGTTTGGTTATTTTAAGAGATATGAAAGATATAATTTTGGCTATTAAAAATTGTAAAATGAAAACTTTTTAATGACTGATAATAATTTAAGTAAACATACTTACTTATTTAATCTTGATGCGTGGCTATCCACAACCGTGCGTTTTTATCAAAATTTTTTACCACGTACGACAAAACTGTGGAATATATTGTCGCCAGCAGTGTTTCCGGACCAATACGACCCAAAAACCTACAAAAAAAGAGCGTACTCCTTCCTTAAAGGCCGGCATCGCATTTGTGATACTCCTGGTGTTGCAAGTGCCATGGGATGGGATCACTTACCAACAGGTGAGCCGTCTCTCGTATGCCCCCTATAACATAAAAAAAAAACTTAAGATAAAAATCTCATGCTTTCATTAATTTCAATTAAAATATATTTTGTCAATATTGATAATACGGTCACAGACATGTTTATAACAATGCGAAAACGACGGCTCAATAAAGTCTGGAACAAGTAAAACAGGAAACATTGCTACAGTAAATCCGCAGCATCCCGCTACGGCAACAAATAAACGACCAAATAACTGTCTCAATAACACAGACATAGTTTTGGGGATAGGAGTCGCGGAGTCTTACTAAAATAACCTTGTATCGATAGATTGATTTGACATCGAACCAATTATACAAAACCAATAATACCTTTAACGGTCTTAGCCCACTTACGCGATTCTTTCCAACACCGCTTCTACCCATCACCGTCCTAATGTAAGACGCCTGCTCGCAGTCTATTTACCGACAGCCAGCAGACACCCAGCTGTCCACTCGCCAACAGCTAGCTGTCAAAGAATTGCTTGGTAGTAATGCGAGAATGACCTGCTAGAAGTCAGAGCGCGGACACAGGGCAAACCACTTGCTTGCAACGAGTGGTAAGCGAGGTGTCAACTACCGAGCAGTCCGACGGCGGTAAGCTCGTTGACAGCGAGTTGAGTTATTTACGTTGCCAATATAAAGTATATCTGAAGAACAATACTTAAAGTCCATAATTTAAATTATATTAGAACCGGCTGGGAGGAGTCGTGTAAGTGGGCTAAGACCTTAAACCGCCTTGTTTTATCAAATATCGCAATTGATCATAATGTTATATAAAAATTGACGTAAACTATCTACTTAATACAATGAAGTCCTTGGAAGCTACCTTAATTTATAAGTTTCTAAAACTTTCTTTAATGTACCAAGGGTGGCAAATAAGTATGCTCACTTGATGGTAAACGGTCACTATAACCTATGTATAGATACATGCAATACATAGGGAAGGCCTCTGCCTCAGCAGTGAGGACATTAATAGGCTGAGGATGATGATGATGATGATAATGATGACATGCAATATCCTAAAACGTACAGCCCTGGAGCCTTACTTACCAAAAGTAAGTTAATATCACCTATGAGGTGGTGTTATTTTAATGTGGTCTACTGTAAGGTAGTGGATACTTCTGATAGTTAAATATTCTGCATAGAAACTGATAATGCATTTTTATGAATCTTTTTTCATACAATCGAAGTTACACTCTATTATGACGTTTCGGCTATTACTCCATTTTTAAATGAGTGACACCATACATAATTTATAGTGTAGCAATCTTACATATTGTCAATTAAGGTTATATGTTTTTGACCAGAAAAAATAATTAGAGGTTGCTAGTAGAAGTAACATAATTACGCCTTCAGTTAAGATTATATAGATAAATTTTATAATCTGCGCCATATCTTAGTACTACTATTACTTTGTACTTCATGTAATATACCAGTCCAGTGTGGAAGATCAAATAAAAAAATCTTAGATCTTTACTTATTAAAAAATTTCAAAACAAGCTCATAAATAAATGATGCATATCTGTCAGAAATAACATGAATACTATCTCTTGGACTAGCTGAAGCAACAGATTGCTACGATATGGCTCGGTGGTATGAAATCGATACCGAACAATAATCCGGTGGAAAGCGAAAGTCGCATCGTTTCCTATATTATGTTAGGTATGGGTTGGTTTATTATTTAGTAAGATAATAAATATGATATTACAGTAACTGACTACTAGAGTAAAATTTAAAGAAAACTAATTTCTGTCAAAAATTATTTTTCCAATTATACTTCAACTCGGCCAAGGTCTGAGGCTAATTATATTAAAATGCTTAACTAAAATTTTATAAAAACGAATTTGTATGTAAACGTTATTTAAGTAGATTCCAATTATTTTTTTCTAGGAAAAGAGAAACAATTTACTTCTAATTTCTGATTAATTTTGTTTGTATTTAGTTTTTCTAATACTACAGTACTAAGCAGTATTTTTTTTACATAATATCATTATTAATTTTATCTACTTAAATTTTTGGAAGGTTATTTTATTCCAATCTTAAAACTTACTGTTGCTTTAGACTCTAAAGCCTCTAAAGTTTAGAGGCTTAAATTAGTCTTACATATTTTATCTACAATCTCATCATCATCGACCCATGCTCGTCCACTGCTGGACATAGGTCTCCCCTAATGCACGCCACAGCTCCCGATTTTCTGCCACTCTCATCCAGCTCACTCCAGCCAGCCTAGGAATGTCATCATCCCATCTTATCTCAGGGCGTCCCACACTGTCTACCGAGTCGCGGTCACCACTCAAGAACTTTACGGCTCCATCGGCCGTCAGTTCTGCGGTTAATGTGACCAGCCCACTGCCAATTCAGTTTGCTCATTTGGTGGGCTATGTCGGTGACTTTGGTTCTCTGTCGGATTACATCATTTCTGATGCGGTCCTTCAGGGATACTCCGAGCATAGCCCTTTCCATAGCTCTCTGAGCGACTTTAAATCAATCTACAATCTCAAGTCTACAAATAATGTTGTTTTAATTATTACAAACACATGTATATTATGTATTTACTTAACGATCACATCTGCGTAGTAAGAACGATCGAACAACTCCAGTTTCTGAATTTAACTTTGGTCTAACATTAAACTATGTTAATTTCAATATTGGCATTGATTTGAATTTAGTACCTAAATTGATTGGTATTGGATATAATATGGTTAGGTAGGTTATTATAATGTAGGTATTTTGTTCTGTGACATTCCTTTGATGGATGAATTAAATTCCACATCAATTATGTGTCGAATTTCATAGAATGATCAAATGGCAAAAGTCGATTCTTATTATTATATTCATTCAAATAGCTACGAATAACGATATAAAGTCTGAATTAATGTATACGATATTACGTGAGGTTCACGAAAAAAATTATAGATGAAAGAATGTCCATGAATGAAATCCAACTATCTCTGGTTAGGTAAACGATAATACTGATTTTTATTTTTATTTTCCTGCAATAAAGGGAGCTATAGACTTTTAAGGGGGGTATTATCTAAGTATATTTATTATAAAACAAGTTTCAACGGTAAAGAAAAAAACTGATTTATTTATTTGTTGAAGTTTCGCATCTTTTACAGGATGCTTCGTCTGAATAATGATTGAATTGAATTTTGTCGAGCTACCTTCGAAAGGCTTTTATTGAGCGTTCGGATATTTCATTGGAATATTTTAAAACTTTGTTGTCTATATATGAATTTAATATCTAATTTAATTAATTCTATTTTTTTTTATAATTTTGAGTTTATTTATTTGACCCTAATTACCGTAAGCTACCACCAGTTCCAAAATAAGGAGAACTTTCTCAGAAGAACTGGCGAAACAAACTCAGAGAGGCTTTCTATCTCCTTCTTATGTTAAATCATGCAAATAAAAAGAACTAATAGTATCTGTTGATCTTGTAGTGTGTGTTCTAGGTTGAGATTTTATCTGTTGTATAATGGAACCCATAAACAAGCTGGTGGTTTAAACCAACCATCTTCCCTATTGAAATTTCAATAGAAATAGAATTAAGTAGTATATTAAGTACTGTGAATTTTCTCGTAGGTACTTTTGTATTCTATGCCTTAATTTATTTGATTCGACCATTTAGTAGTTTGCGCATGTTTAAGTATCAAACATCCAAACTAACTCATTTTATATTATTTATATCTCGATCTGTTGTTATATAATCCTTTTTTTTAAGTACCACACCGATATAAAGTACCTAAGGGTATACAAAATCAACAACACATAAATTGTCATAATTTCTCAATAAATTCTAAACTCAAACCTTTTGAGAGGAAAAACTATAAAATTTTGAGTATTTTCTGTTTAAATAGGAAAACACAACCAGCAATAAGATTTTTTTTGAAATTCACAGAACCTACATTTACGTATCTTTATAGACATGTATTTGCAAATAGGAAAGTCGAAACGCAAACGCGATCCCCTCGGCTGTCGAAGCAACAGATTGCCGTTCGATGTTACAGCTACGTAATCGGGCCGCCTCACGATAATCTCACCGTAAAAAACGTATAAAGGTCAGCAGAGACACATATCACTTCGGAATCGGCGCGTCAACGCCTAAGCATACGGTGTGCAACTACGATGATGCGTTTTTTTTACGATGCTTATTATAAAGAAATTGTATCCAAATAATACTGAGCAGTTGCAGTTGCTTCTGATTATTTCAAAATTCATCATGATCAGCCTATTAATGTCCCCACTGCTGGGGCACAGGCCTTCCTTATGGATAGAATAGGGAGATTGGGCATGACCCACCACGCGGGCCCAGTGCGGATTGGTGGGTGCTAACGACTGCAGATGCAGCTGGGACTAACGGCTTAACGTGCATTCTGAAGCACGGAGGAGCTCGATATAGTAAATTTTTGGTCACCCATCCAATGACCGACCACTGCGAAAGTTGCTTAACTTCAACGATCGCAGCCGAATGCTCTAACCACTTGCGCCATCGAGCTCCCCGGGTAATTCGAAATTATGCTTGAAAAATTCTGTTTTTAAGGTTTCATACAGAACTTGGTTGAATCGAAGAGTTTCCGGACCAAATGATACCAACGGAAGCGTCCGTCTATATATCATTGGGCTCTATCTCATGAACTTTAATATGTAAACTGTTGCTATTTTGATAAAATGCATCCACAACATAAGGCGTCTATAACAACAAATTAATCGAAATAAAATTGAATACGGTCTTTAAAAAAAATATGACTTTTGTGTCTACAAGTTTTGCTTGAACTAAACTGTGGGATTTTGTCTTAAGTTTAGATAAGCGATGTTTGTTGTTATATTGTAATGTGTCCAATTTTGATTTTGGCGGTTTTGTATCGGTACGTATCTCCCTTTCCGCGTTTACATTGATATGTGTAAGTCGACCTTTACCACTCACCTCCTCCCCGGCCTAGTTTTACGAGCGGCCGTTTATCTTTACAAGACAGCTCGTGTGCGAAGCGTAACAGGATAATTTTTTATGTAGCTACTATGAGACGGAGCCGGCTCGCTGGTTTTACGACAACTTTTCTGATACTGCCTTTATGACTACTTAAGTATGAAGGACATAGTTCAAGTATGAAGAAGACGATCCACTTTAATAATAGAAGCGTCTGTTTGTTGCGCAAATATGTGTGTTTAAGTTGCGATTGATATTCTTATTTTATGTGAAGATAATGGGTTCGCAAAAATAATATTTGACAAGGTGAAAGATTGTATGGAAAACCGATCATCATACGCGGATGAAGTTAATAAGAAGGAAATATTTGAAATTCCCACTTTAGACTTTGCAAACTCGGAGGTTCAGATAAGTAGCTTTATGCAACACTGTTCGGCCAAACCTTTTTTTTTATAAC